CGTCACAATATATATATATATATATGTTACGGGACAGTAGATATCTTTATTCGGTTGCGGGTTAAATGAATAGATCTTGTGCGAGAGTAGATGAGAAAAACGCTTTATTTTTGACTGCCTCTCTTGAGGACAACTCGGATGGGACTAACCGCCGGCAGCGGCAGGACACACACACATACGCTCTCTCTCTCCTTCACGCACATGCGCATAAACACGCATGATATACTCAACACTTCCGCCGTCTCAGTGTTTGTTAGCACTCTCCTAATCCAATACTTTCGCTATGGCTCAGAAATCGTTCTTTCGGTAGAGCCTTTGTAAGGATGTCAGCACGCTGACTCGCGGAAGGAGTGAACTCGACTCGGATAGTTTTATTCTCCATTGTCTCGCGAAGATGGTGGTACCGAATGTCAATGTGTTTGGTTCTCTTATGGAACTCGCGATTCTTAGCTAGGCGTATCGTACTCTGATTGTCTACAAACAATACGGTTGCCTTCTCACACTGACGCCCGATACCGCTCATCAGTCTCCTCAGCCATATGGCTTCTCTCGCTACGGCTGAAGCGGCGACATATTCCGCCTCAGTTGTGCTAAGAACAACTAGCTTTTGTCGCTGAGAGGCTCAGGAAACAGGGCCGTTTGCAAGGCTAAACACATAACCTGTAGTGGACCGCCTCGTCTCCAGGTCGCTCGCGTAGTCGGCATCCGAGTAGCCTCTCAACTCGGGTTCGCTTCCGCCGCTGCGGTACATTATGCCTATATCTTTGGTTCCGACTAGGAATTCAAATATTCTCTTCACTGCTCGCCAGTGATTTTTGCCCTGATTATTCAAAAATTTACTCGCCGCATTTACCGCGAACGCAATATCAGGGCGCGATACGATTGCAAGAAACATCAGTGACCCGACTGCCTCACGATACGGTGCACTACATGATTTCTCTCCTGACTCTAACGGTTGCAACACTGCGTGCGGATCTGCCGGAACAGATACGGCTTTCGCCTCGCTCATTCTAAATCTCTCTAAAATTCTGCTAGTATACGTACTCTGGTGCAAAAACATCGTTTTTTCCAATCTGTCGCAACTAAGCTGCAGACCGGCGAAGCTACTGCAGTCACCGAGAGTAATGTCGAACGTTGCCTCTAACTTGTTAACAATTGCATCTAGCACTTTCTGTGACCGACACGCTATCAATCTGTCGTCAACGAACAACGCGAGATATACAGACGACCCCTTATAGTCACCGTAGAAAATGCACTTATCTGCATCTGTTGGCCTAAATTTGAATTGCACCAAAAACTCACAGAACCTACGATTCCAGCACCGAGGCGCCTGTTTTAACCAGTATAACGCCTTTTTTAACTGGCACACCACTTCCGTTCCACTTCTCTGGATCTGAAGACCCTCTGGCACTTCCATGTGGATTTCTTCCTGTAGATCCCCGTGAAGGAACGCAGTGCGCACGTCGAATTGAACCATTTCAAGATCCTCTTGAGCGACGGCTCAAGCCAACAACACTCGGAGCGAGTCATACCGGACCACAGGAGAGAAAGTCTCTGTGTAATCCACTCCTTCTTTTTGCATGAAGCCTCTGGCACACAACCTCGCTTTAAACCGGAGCACGCTTCCATCCGCAGCTTGAATTGTTTTGAACACCCATCTCGAATCGATAGTATTCTTATTACGATTCCTTAGTGTTACCTGCCACGTACCATTTACCTCATGAGCCCTCAGCTTTTCCTCAATAGCTTTAATCCACTGCGACGCGTCAGGTCCGCTTATTGCTTCTCTGTAACTTGAGGATGCATTGAGCTCTGCAAAGTTCAATTGGTATCTTGCAGGTGGGCGAATATTCTCTCTATCATGTAGTACACGCGGCTCGATGCCTCGTATGGCGCCTTCATTATCGGCTTGTACACCGTCTTCATTGTCAGCTCGCTGCTCAGCCTCGACGGCATCGGCACGTGGTACGATCTCTGCATCGTTATCTCGTGGTATTATTTCCAGCTGCTCCTGTGGTTCTTCTTCCTCTTCTGTCGGCACTGTCCACTCCTCGTCTTCCTCTTCTGTCGCTCCTCGATGGCGTTGTTGCACAACTTCGAAAGACAACATTCCTCGAAACCGTGACCTTTTTTGTGTCCGGATGGTAGAGTCAATAATTTGTTGAGTCTCCGTCGTACCCTACCAGGATCACCTTCTTTACTCTGGGATCGAGTTTCTGCGTGAACTGCTTTGGCACATGCTCGAAGCCTTCCTCACCGAAAACTCGCACGTGCTTAAGATCGGGCTTCCTGCCCGTCCAGATTTCGTACGGTGTTTTACCGTCGTCCTCTCCAGTCGCCGAGACTCGATTTAGCA